GGTCTGAAACTCACCTTTCTGCATGTCTTTTGCAGACAAACACCATTTCAGGTCACCAGTACCTCTCAGCTCAGTGCACTTTTCCTCCATATACCACACTGAGGTACCCAGCTTTCTCCATAGGAAATAGGTACCTCATCCACTTCTGCTTCAGGGTCCTTTTAGGCAGCTCCATGTTCAAGGGCTCTTGTCTTTTTGGGGACCCTGTCCAAGACTACTAGAAATGTAAAATTCCTGAGAGAAAGGCTGTATAATGCATGTAGAGTGCTCCAAACTACATAGATACTGACTTTCATTGGGACATCACTAACACTGCAGTAACTCAAAGCTCAGCCTATCTAAGCTGACAAGGCAAGTCAGCAGTAAATCTCCTTAAAATGTTTTGCTCTAACCTGTCTATTTCTAGGGAAGCAGCCAACTTTCAAACAGCTCAAATGTTCTGTCCCCGATTGTTTGAAGGTAAATATCCCATCCCATGATTTCATAAAGCATGACTAGCACAAGACAAGCAAATGTTACAGTGAATAGTTCGCAGGGAGGCATATAGCACTGAACTGGTGTGACGTAGCTTCAGTAAAGACCTACTCACCCCTTCGCAAAAAGGAATTGCAAGGATTTACTTCTACAAGATTTAATGAAAACTACTTTCTGGTATCACTATTATTTATTTGCCTGCAGAATGTCTGAGAGGTAAACCTAATTCTGTCAATTGTTTGCTAAAATTTCAGCACTGGTATACACAGGACAATTTAGAAACCAATTGATCAGAAGCCCAATGAAAGTAACTTATAAGCATCTGGAGTATTAGTATTATTTAAATCATTAGCAGTTGCATGTTTCTTTAAACCATGAAACTTTGTGTGCAGACTAAGCGGAAGATGGGCTGTAGGTAGGTAAAAGTCTTCTACCAATTTCTTTCCAAACACTATTTCCACAGATCAAGCAGCACAGAATGATTGTAACAGACTTCAAAGACACTGCAACCCATCCTCTTGCAACAAGACAGGATCAACACAGCAAAGATGACGATATGAATACACACCACCTATGCACATACACATACCGTGCTCAGATCACAGGCTGAAAGCAGTATCAGAAGTCCATATCAGAAAACTGAAATAAGTGCTCTAATTCTCACAGAGTATTTGTTTGTAATGGCTATTAATCCGAAAATTCAACTGCTCTGGTGTTTAACTATCTGACTCTAAGTGTTTCACATTGACTTTTATGTACAGTCAGAAATCTTGGCATACAGATGTGGTAATGAAAATACAAAATAAAATATGTAAACTCTTCCATTCCCTGCCACACCAGCTCTTATAAATGGGCATTAGGGAAGACACTCAGAATTTCTGACATCTACTACACCAAGATAAACAAGTAAAGAGTACGGGTGTTGCCCGGTACTTTGCTAATACATTTCTGAGTTACATGCTAACTGGAAGCCTGAACGATAGATGTGCCATAAATCTAATACACAGCAAGACGCGGAGACACTTTAGTAAGTACAGGTGTGAAGGTTTTCGTGAAAACTGAATGCTCCAACAACAAAGGTGGAAGCTCAGCAGCAACGGCTGTGGTCCCCTTTTGTATGAGGAAGGGTGCTTCATAATCGGTTTCCAGCAAATAACGTCATGGGGATTGCTGACGGGAAAACCTTTTCTTTTCTTTACACTGATGTAAGACAATTTCTTCCCTCCTACGTTTTCAGTGAGCATAAAAGGCAAAAGGCTTCCCTTTAGGAATGAAAGCAAATACTGAAAAAACAGCGAGTGTTTAAATGTTTTGCTGAGTCAGAGTTTGTAACAGCTAATTGTTAGGAAAGCGTTTTGGAATAAAACTGTGGGCAATATTATGAAACAATGGTCTTCAGAGGAATAAAGGAAAAAGGTGGAAAGTACCCATCACTTACCACACAGTCCTTTGTATTAATATGAGGTTCAAGCAAGCAAGAGATTTTTTTCTTGAGGAGTTTGGAATTTGGAGAATTGTCATCTTTTAGACCACACCCCTGTCTTCCAACTACAGTAAATAGTTCTTCTTTTTCATTTAGGTGTCATTTTTGTGTCACCAGGGAGAGATATTTTAACTCACCAGTTTCTGTGCTTTTGAAGCCTTTTCTAAATTCTTTTCAACTCAACATGGCTTAGACAGGCAGAAGTGGGTGGATTAGCTTGACAGCCTGCATCCACTACTCAGTTCCAAGGTTTCAGTGCAATATGCATCTCACACATACCATGGCACCTGTCATGGCTCTTAAGCCCTTTGAGTCAAAGGCATTAGCTGGTGCCAGAACACTGGAGCTTCTCACCATGGTGAGAAAGATTTTTAAACAAACAAAAAAAAAGCCCCCAAGGGTATATCTGGACAACCCCTTTTTGCTAATCAAACATTCAAATAGGATTAATGCACACAGATGATTATTATCTGAGGAGACTGCCATAGAAAAGAAAGGTTTATGTTTATTTCTGCATACCATCACAGGGGAAAAAACCCTTTGAGCACTGATATTGGACTGGAGATCAAACTAGATTTCCCATCTCTCCTTGAACATTACTGAAATCTTGGCCTAATATAGCCCTGGAACCATGAACCCTGAAATCTGAATTGCCATTAATTTTGGCTAGCGGTCAGTATTTCACATGCTATTGAAATAAGTTCCATCTGGGAGTGCTGATTCAAAGTCAGAGAATGACCGGTGGTTTGTATTGAACCATACCAAGGATGATAGGTCCCTGCACCAAGGAAATGTACCGGAGATGAAGTTCTTGATGCAATATAACTTCTGTTCTTACTTCTCCTTCTTTGTTTTCTCTTTGCTTAGTGTTTTGCAATAATGTTTTTAAAGCTTCATTTTTCCCACAAAGAGAAAGAAAAAGTATGATCACTAGATCTTTAAACTGTGGCCAGCAAGGATTTTTAAACTGTAATTGCCCTTAAAAAGCTGAGGTAGCATTTACTGCCACAAATGTAAATACTCAAGCTAAGAAACTAATCAGGAAAGTTTCTTGCAGTAATCTAAAATGCAAAATACACACCATTATAGAAAACAAAGCCAAAGAAGTTACATTAATGGTCTTACTTTCTTAATTCTTGAGTTCTACACAGTGCAAGTGATTAGCATTACATTTCAATAATGTATGTTTTTAAACTATCTTCTAGACGCTTGCTTAAGCAACAAGGCTTCTTTAAGAAGAAGCACTTAGTAAAGAGTCTTCTGGCAGACAACAGCAATTACAATGCAATAGATAACTATTACTGCTGCCCACGTTGCTCCATTCTACAATAGCATTTCATTTTTACCGATGTAAAATCTCCCCCTTCCACGACATTGAACATAACAACAAGTTATTAAGTTTTTGGCAAAAGGTAATTATTGAAACCATTTGTTATGTAAAGTGGCTCCCTTTTCAAGATAAAATATTTCAACAACTAAATAATACTCTAACTAATTATGTTTAACATGCAAATGCATTAATTTAAAATGTTGCTAAAGGAGACTACAGTATGTTGGAGACATTGAAATCCCAGAAGTAAAACAGCATCAGTATGAACTGATACTCTGGACCCAACTTGTAAATCTCACTCATGCAGTCAGTCACACACGGCTTTCAGAAAGCATTCAAAAAATAAGACAAGATCAAATGATTTTTAAAATCTTACAGGTTTTATAAAAACGTTATTATACATTACAAAAAGCTTTTCATCAATTAAAACTTACAAAACACTTAAAATGTATAATACTCTCTTAAAGAAAGATTATCTATATTTCAGTATGTACAGATGTGGCGGTGTGCTCCCCCCCTCCCCACGTAAGCAATAACCACCAGTGGGGGTCCTGACGGCTGCATCCAGCCCATGCTGGACTTCGGGGACAGATGGCAACACAGTAGCCACGGGCTGGCTGGCATAGCGACCCAGAGGTCTTGCTGGTATGCAAATATGACTGTAAGTCAATCACCTTACACCATAAATAGTGGACAGCCCAGGGCCCATTGAGCTCTCCTGCACGGCAGTGGGCTGCACGCCAGGATTTCCCCTTGAGTAGGGGTTACTCCTCGCGGTTGAGAGATTCCTTGCCACAACAGATTCTCGGTAAGTGACCAATAGCATGCTAAACTTTGAAATCTTAGCTAAGTGATATCAAGGATTGATTGCGCATATATAATCCTTTAGACATAAACTGTTGACCAAGTCTGGGACTAGGACTGGATCCAGCTGCACCTAGGCTCCTCTCTGAGAAGGAGTTTAAAAAGCAAGGGGGTCCTTTCTGAACCTCGTGACGCAACGGGACGGTCCCCCTGACAGTTTTGTCTGTCCTCTGCGCAGTAAATAATCAAGTGTACCTTACCATCGAATCTTGTTAAACCACTGTCACGTTTACCATTAAACTTTGTTAACTCACTGATTTATATCAATAAAGTATATTATTGTGAGTGAACTGCACTCTCACTCTATCCGCGACAACAGGTAACAGTTTATATCAAAACTTGATCAAATAGAAGACAATCCATAACTTTCATACCTATCTAATTGGAGGTATGTACACTGTCAAAAATATGAATGTTTAGAAATTACTGTTCTTGTCTATAAAAATAGAAAAGAGAGATACTGAAGACTCAAAAATTTTCAAACGTAGCAAGACTCAGCATGTTTACAATGGTAACCTAAAAACACTGATTAAAACCTCTTAAAACCAGAGAAACTATCCTTCTATTTTTCTGAGGATTCCAGCTCAGAAGAATGATGATGTAAATTAACAGGGAAGAAGAAAAAGAAGACTGAGTGGAAAAATACCCCTGAGATAAGGCAGGAACATTATTATTTTTTCCTACTTGTTTGTTTCTTTGGCTTTTTGTTACTTTCAAGCTACCACATAGCTTGAAAGGAAATTTGTCCTGTCATAGATTTTAACAATTACATCATCACCACATAGGTAATTATTCTGACTCAAGTGATAAAAAAACAATAGCACAAGTTGCTCTGTTTCTTCAGACTCTTCCTGTTTCTGACCCCATCCCTCTATTTTTCTTTCTAACTTTTTTTTAATTCTAAAATTAGATTGTTAAGAGGATAGAATAGCTACCTGCATATTTTTTCTAATTACCATTTCCCACATCTTCCTTTTTTTCTTGAAAGTTTTTTATAGACAAGTTCTTCAAAAGCCATGCTTTCATCTTCCACTTCATTTTCCAAGTCTCTATCATGCACAAAGCCTATATTAAAAACAAGAAATTAATGCAGAATGGAAAACCCCAACACCTTTTCCTCTTAATAGTATGACAAGCTATGTCATTGCTATTTGATATGTCAGCAATATCCCTTCATAAGTGTATAATTATGTTCAAGAAGTATTGGGCTTAATAGGACAATGTGCTTAAAAGCTCTGCTAGGAAGCAGAGACTGCTAAGCCACTTGCTGCACTAGTAATTAATTTTTACACTGAAAATCTGTTTCTATTGTTACTGCTTTTGACTTTGTAAGAAGTATGTCTCTCCTCTCTCAAGATTCAGTTTCAGCAGACAATACATTTGCTTGCTGACTTCAAAGACAGACTGTAATGTGAGACTATGAGAGCACTCCCATATAGTGTTTTTAACTGTATCTTTCTTGGAATAGGAAGGTATAACACAAAACTTTATCACAAATTTTCTAAAATAGAGCTACTTCAGTGCTTTACATATACTGCAATTTGTAAGCCTGATCACTTCATTGCTGCCTTTTAATGCAATTGTTGCAATCCCACCACCTAAATACATGCTTAAACCTAAACATACAGGCAGGCACAATGAAGTCTTAAACTCGTCCTCAGAGATCTGTGATGCAATAGAGTGCATCAATGTATGTTACTTTCAGTGTGAAACCAAGTGAAATGCAAGTGAAAACAAAAGAAAGCCAACTGCATATAATATTTTTCCACAGAACTCTTAAAAGCAAGCTAAGGATTAGTTTTGTTAGGAAGCTGGTTTCCAAGAACTTGGACCGACACTGCCCATAAATGCACTGCTGCAGCAGTTAAGAAACAGCACTATCTTATTGGTGAAGATGAAGATAGCTGCTCTTCTGTTCCCCCTCCCAAGTTTATATCCTGAAGACTGCACTTGAACCATAGTTACATGTGCATCTGTGTGTGCCTGTGTGCACAAACACTCGCATACTTTATGCAGGCTGGGATCCACTGAGGGCCAGGGGAGGAGGCATGCTCCATTCTGGCCACCCTGTAACCAGCTGGGAGGCTCATGCTCCGTTTTAAAAAGCCTCTGAGGAAAGACTGGTTAATTCACATTTCCAGAGTGTACCTATTGAGATGCCCGTTTCTTGCTGCCTAGAAGGTAAGTGAATATCCACAACACTGCTGACTCGGAGACTAATGTGATGCTAAGAGACCATCACCGAACAGTGTCCTCTAGGGGGCACAGAAATCTGTGTAATTTCAAAACATACCTTCTTCTTTCATCCTGTGAGAGTCCATTTTCTTCAGACACTTACGAGCCTCATCAATGGTGGCAACCAATTTGTTGGCATGTTTGGTTACTATTTCTTCAGCTGAAATGGAGCACAATTAACATTCTGTAAGAACACTAGTTGACAGATGGACAGCAGCTAAAAGCCGAGCACAAAACAAAGTTACACAGAGCTGTGCTGTATGATGATGCTGCAAAGCAAGAAGTCTCAGTCAACAGTGATCTCATGTGCAGGCAAATTCACTACTGGGGATGAAGATGGTGTATGTATTACTCCCCATTCCAATCAACATTACTAGCACTATCAGAGGAGAAGCTCTCCATCCTTGTGCTGTCCCTTTCAAGGTATACCTGAAACTCCCGAAAACATTCTGGTTTATCTATTTTTGGCTATTAAAGTTCCTGGCTTTCATTATCCCTCTGAAATTATACAAGTCAAAGTAAAACATGGACCCGAGATGTTGCAGCCCTTGCTTAACTGCACCATGAAAAATGCTTGTTATAAATGAGGGAAAGTAATCTCAAAGGCAAATAATTTCTCTAAGTATATTTTCACTAAGTGGAAGAACAAGGTAACATTCATCAAGCAATTGTCATAACAAAATCAACTATTAACTAGTTAAGCCTACTACATATATCATATTCATCACTATCATGGTTCATTGAGCAGAAAGCCAACTAAATAATAAGCAAAACTTCATGGACTTCATACATATGTAAAAACTTTCCACTAAGAGTAAAGATAAAGCTTACACATGAAGACCACATCCTAACTTTTAGTTACAAATTTACTGTATTTCACTGATCAGAGCTAATGAACATATCAAATATTACAGTTTTTCATTACTGTCAGACATCACAGGCAAAGTGACAACTTGACAGGGTTAGTGGATTTCTACAACTAAAGCCAGTAACAATGTTTTGATTTAAGACGTCACTTTCCCACAGCAAGTACCCCAAACAATTTTGCTCCTAGGCCACTCATTCAGTGATTCAATTTTGCTTGAAAAAAACAGTATAGAATAATGCTTTAAGCATATGAGGGAGGAAAAAAAATCAAATACCAAAATATGTATCTCTTAAGTACCATAATTTACTGGACTTTATAATACCAGGGTTGCCTTTGAGTGCCTGACACCCCACAGATTTTTAGTTAAGTATCCACTTTTGTTCAGCCCTAGCAAAATTACAAGTTCAAGGGCAGACTAGACAGAGATATCCTTAACCAAAGACTCCAAGTACTCCTAACACTCTACCCCTGCACATCGAAATTCCTAGGCTGGCAGAACTAAATAAATAGGAAATAGTAGAAAAATTAGTAAAGATTACCTAGTCTAATGTAACAGACTGCTGTAAGACTGTACAAATTCAGAGAACAAGGCACATATGATCATGTGGTTAAAATTCACTTTACTAAAATTCACCACTATTCACTTTACCTGTACTATCTGATGTGTCACATTGTGTTTGGAAGAGGTGAGAATGTATTTTTTAATATTTTCAACTGTCTCAGTTCCGCTTTTCTTCAGCTACCTGAAATACCTGGAAATACCTTTCTCTTGATCACATTAAGATTTTCAAATGGAACTTTGTCAGGTCTAGAAGTTTGGCCACAAATGACATACTAAATTGTTTAAAAGAAAACTGGAAAGGTCCTACCTTTAACCCAGGCTTTTCTCTCATAGATTTCCTCTACTGCATCTGAAATCTTTTTAATATTCTCTTTGATTTTTCTCTGGCATAAGTTGGAACCTTCTTTATATGCTAAATGGTCTCGGGTGTAAGTCTTTTCTGTAATGGCCTCCACTACTTCCAGTCCATCATATATTATTGGATCTATCTTTCTTCTGAAAAAGTCAGCATAGCATTTGTAGGCAGCGTTATTATTTCTGTGTTCATCTGTGTTTCTGTGCTCTACATAAGCCTCACTGGCCACAGAAATTGCATTTCCTTCCGCATGCAAATTTTCTTCCCCACTGATCTCTATTGGTGTCACAGCTTCAGAAGTGTCTGCCTCCATGTTTTCTGAGTGGCTGAAATAGTTCTCAGAACTCTGGATAAATCTGACTCCACAGAGGTCACACTGGGTTTGGTCAATATCTGCTTTTTTGAAGATCTCTGATAAAAATTCCTCTCCTTCCATTGCAACAGGCTCAGCTTTGGAGCAGGCCTTCCTCTTCCACTTCATGCACAGAGAAACGAAATGGAAGACACGACGCAGCTGGCGTTGAGCAGATGCTTTCTGTTCTTGCTTCTGTTGCTTGCTGAGTGCAATGACTTCCAGGGGATCCTTTTGGTCCTCTAAGCAATGAATCCTTTCAAGTTCCTTTTCTAGCTCATCAGTGTACTCTGTTGTATCCAAAGAGGTCATAAACCTGTCAAGGTTTATGGTTTCATACAGGATGCCCCGTATGGGTGGATGCCCCTGAGTATACGCAGAGTCCCACTTCCATCGGCAGTCAACCAAGTACTCTGCATCTCGCTCTGTCAGAAGCTCTTGCAGGCTTGCAGCGATTTCTCTTACATGTGTAGCATCAATCACTTGTTCCACAACCCTTAGCAATCTTTCAGGCACTTTAGAGGGAGAGTCTTTTCTCATTGATTTCAGCATCGCCTTGATTTCAGGAAAATGGTGGCATAAGAGAGATCTATATTTAGAATTCTGCGCCTGGTCAGCATTCAGTAGCATCACTAAGCACAGCACTATGGTCCGCTCAGCTTCCCCTGAAGTTATGCAATCAGGATCCTCGAAAGCATCCAGAAGGACATTGAACTTTCCATGAACTCCACACAAAACTTCTGCTAGATAACAGAGATGAAATCTGAAATTCTGTATAGCTACATATGCATCCTTTGGTCTATACTCCTGTATAATAGAAAATGTGTCTCTAAGTTCTTTGTTACGGTCCTTGCTTCTGAACAAAAACTCCCAGTAATGAATGAGAGCAATGTAACTCTTTGGAAAGCAGAGAGTAATGTTCTTGGAGAGACGCATCAGGACAGCACAACAGAGAATATACTGGAATTCCAACAACATCACTGTATTTCCTATGCTTGGAATCAGGTATCTCGTGCATTTCTTGATCAGGACATTCAAAAAACGGAAAAAAAACCTTTTACAGTTTTCTGGGTTCTTATGAACATAGAATTGCTCAAGTGAATTTTCAAGAAGTCGAATGAAGCACAAGTGTGTTCTCCCTGCATTTTCGGCATTTTTGTCAGGTAGCAACATACCATGTCTGCCCTCTATTCCTTTGGCCTTTCCTCCTTGGCCTTTACTCTTTGGGGAATTTTTTGCCTTCGACAAAGCAAAGATTAGCTCTTTGTTATAATCATCCTCTTCCTTAAAAAGAAGTTTCTCAAATTCTTCAGGATATCCTGAAGATAAGATGAAAACTTGCATGGCACTTAGCCACAAGTCAGTTGATTCTCTTCTGGCTGCAGTGTCTTCATTTTTAAACTTAAATGTGATGTACTCCTTCAACACCGCTCTACAGGGTTTGGAAATAATGTTACCGAATTCCAGTATTTCTTTGCATGCCTTTGGGTTCTCAGACAGTATTCTCAAATGAAAATGATTAGGAAAAAACATTTCTAGGAGGGCTTTACATGATGCATATTTGTCAGCAGTCAAAATGTCATCGAAGCTTTTGAACTGATTCAGTAGCTCCTTAGGGAAAGTGCGTGTGGCTTCCAACAGCAGTCCGTTTATTGCCACCAGATGCATTTTACACTGAAATATTGTCTTTGCTTCATGGCGCAACAAAGGCTTATGGTAATCCTCACAGGTTTTATCTTCACAGTTCAAGCCAACAATGAACTTCATACAAATATCAGGGTAATGCTTGTTCAGTAACTCATGGGTGATAGAGCACAACCTGCTTAAAAAGTGCTGCTTCAGAGCTGATTTTACCTCCTCTGTGCTTACTGAGAAATCACCTTTTGTCTTCCTCTCTTTTAGACTTGGCCTGTCTGACAAAAACTTGAGAATGGGTTCAGCTTCATTTTGAGACACCTGGCAACTGTCACCTGTTGGGACAATCCCAAAATAGGCAAAGCATGACTTCACCATATCTTTCTCCGCGTTGGTGGCTGCTTTCTTCAAACCCCTAACCAGACTCAGAAGAGCCATCAAGCCGCGTGTTGCCAAAAAGAGGATGTCCTGGCTAGGAGCGCTGCAGCGAGATAATGCAAAGAGAGCTTCAACTGCACCAGCAGAATGATTCAGAGATAGGAACTGACGGTATGCGCTGCTCAGCTTTGCAAAGTCTCCCTTCAGAGCTCCCTGCAAAAACACAGCCTCAGCAATGCCAGACTTCTGCTCAGTTTGTTCACAAAGTTCAAGGGCTTCTCTTAGGATGACCTCCATGTCCACCAGGTCTGATTCTGAACAGTGAGTCACACCGGCACGTGCTGCAGCAAGCAAACACGATGCACGAAACTCTTTTATAGCTGTGAGGCTGGCTGCTTCCAGAGCAAACCCGTGTTGTTTCATTAACTTTGCAGCTTCTTCCTCTCGACCTTCCCTTTTCAGTAAGTCTGCTGTTTGGCGCAAGCATCCACGAGACTTAAGAAACTCAAGCTGATCCTCTAGATCAAGTTTTGAGAGAACTTGCATCATTTCCTCAGTTCTGTTCATACTTAGGTACTTTGCAGCTGCTTCCAAATACAACTGATTCGCCGTACATGAGAGTTTGGAAACCATTTGTCCTTTTGTATTTAACATCTCTTCATATCTGAAATAATAGATACATCAATTTACTACCATAGATGACTAACCTAGACAAAAAAATACTGCATTTTTAAAAAGCCTCCAAAACATTAAACAAATTGCTGCCCCCAGAAGCCCTTCCTTCAAAAAAGCCAACTATTTCAAAAGTGGTATGTCTGTCATGCAAAAAACAATCACATTATCTTAAAAGATCTACAGAAAGAATTTAATCATAGAATCATTAAGGTTGGAAAAGACCTCTAAGATCATTGAGTCCAACCGTCAACCCAACACCACCATGCCCACTAAACCATGTCCCTAAGCGCCTCATCTACAAGTCTTAAATACTTCTAGGGATGGTGACTCAACCACTTCCCTGGGCAGCCTGTTCCAAGGCCTGACCACTCTTTCAGTAAAGAAGTTTTTCCTAATGTCCAATTTAGTTACAACATAAGGCTGTCTGAAGCAAGATCATTAAAACTTCCAGTACAAACAAGATCACAAGGTTTACAGCATTAGTGAATCTTTCTCCATACTGTCAAATCACTGTACAAATTATTTTAATCACATTTTGCCAGTGATAATCTTCTGTTTATTAAAGTAAGCCTCAATATAGAATGGTTGTTTACATGAACAGAAGCCAGAATGAAAGAAATCTGAATTTCAATGAATTCTTCACAGGCCAATATAGATAATATTCTGTAAAATTTACATAAACCGCTCAGTTCAGAGAACTCCCTCAATTCTGTCGTATGTATCTACATATACTTTGCTGCTTATGGAGTGCCTGAGCAAAATACCTTGTTGCATCTTTCAAAACACGCACTTTAAAACATTCAGTTATTAATTACCATTGGCTGATGTGAAATTATTAAGATATCCCCTAAGCCAGTCTTGCAAAAGTATTCTCTCCTGCACGCTGAGAATGAGTAATTTCTTCCTGATGGGTGAGTAAATTATCATTAGCCTTTCATTATCATCATTTTCATGATAAACGTGGGAGTGCAGATTTTTGTACCTATGCTGATGAATTTGCATGAATGATTTGGGGAGGCTTATTTAAAAAATTGTTAGTTGGTAAGGTGACTTTAATGCTTGAACTTTTTGATCAAACTATCTCTATGTATTAAACAACCTTGGTCCTTGAAAAAACAGTTGCCATTATTAGAGGTACATGACAAAGGATTTCAGTGAAGGTGTATAACTGTAGGCCTTGCTCGAATTCTAACTGATGTATATATTCTTTAAAAGTCATCAATCAATTTAGGTGTAATGAACCGTGTGGCCAATAAGTGAACTGTTTACGCAAGAATGTGCTAATGAGGTCACAGGGCTGGTGCCAGATACAAAGTTCTGTCAAAAAGATACTAATAAAATCAGTTTATCAAGCATAGTGCGAGGCAGTTCTTAACTGCCCCGAGCCAGCACAGGGGAGATGGCATGGAAAAGTTCATCTCAGAGACCGGGAACAAGAATTTGTCAGAGAGGCAGCGCAAGCTGGTCATTTGAATTACTATTCTTTGCTCTAAGTTACAGATTTTGAAAGACAAATAGTTCATTTGCCACGACGACTGCTGCATTATATACCACACATCTCATGGTATACTCCTACAGAAGTCAGTGACTAAGTGGCTAAATCCATTACTATTTCATTCTTAAAAGAGAATTATTTAATACTTCTATTAAATGTTTTTGTCATATTTACCATAAGAACCTAGTTCAGAGAACTGGCTGAAGAAGAACTTGCATGACTAGTAATACAGACTGGAAAAAATTCCCAGGAAAATGAAGCTAGTCACTGCTCCAGCTGTGAATGCACTAAAAAGCTTTCACCGTGTTATCATTACCCAAGTAAGAATTCTGCCAAAGTTAATTTAACTCATATAAAACAAAGTCACCAGCCAAAACTCTTGTGAAAATTTTATGGTAAGCCAGCTGTATTATGTTGAATTTGGAAATGGGAAAGATAATTATATTCCAATACCATCTTGGAAGACATACCTTTCAACTGCCTTTGCTGCTTCTTCATAGAGTTCTTCCTGACAGTACATTTTAATTGCCAGATCAAACTCCTCAATTTGTTCATAACATTCAGATGCTTCTTTGTAGCACTGGCTTTTCTGATAGTAAACTGCAGCATCTTTCATCTGCAATGCAGAAGTCAGTAATGAAACTGAAGTGCTCTAAACAGTCAAAACTACATTAATAGAATAAATTTAGTAATTCCATCATGTAGAGAGAAGCACACTTTAATAAAACGTAATTAAAAGTATCTGAATGTGATCAAATACATATTAAAGTACATATTAAATACCATCATTAAAACGGAACAGATTTAAAAAAAAACTTCCAAATACTTGTGTCCGAAAAACTAGAATGTAAAATTAAAGGTATTATACAGGATTTCCAAAGTACTTTTTATTCACCCCGCTCTGCCTGTTATTAAAAAACACCACACACACTTCTGTTGACTTGCCAATTTCTCAGAATCAACAGGATAAAATTAAAACAGTTATGGATGCAGAATTGGAACTCTGACCTTGTATCTTAAATTTTAAATATTTGGGAACAATTACTTTACATTCTTTTAGTGGAAATGCATTGCAAACAAAAAATGTTAAATATCCTCATACACTTAGAAGATTATTGTTAGTACATTACTTAATCCTTACAAGTTTCAAGGTTCCATTTAGATGGCTGTAATCAGTGAAGTTTCAATATCATCAGAGCATTGAATGAAGTGACAGCTTAAGTTTCATTAAATCAGTCATTAATTAACTTTTGACTGCAAAGCAGAAATGACCGATGGTGACATTTGAGGAAACCCAAAGAAATAAACCTAGACTGAATAATTGCATCATTGTCCTCTTCATTCCTCTTCTGGCTCTTCTGTGACAAATGCTTCCTCTTGAACAGCCCAGCTTAAAGAGCTGTTTCAGTTCAGCTACTACCATGTCACAGAAAAATACTATTACCTTATGAGTAATACGAGGGGAAAAAAAGCTGTAGGAAAAGGAAAGTGATAAGGAGAGGGTAGTGTAGAGGATTTAATACCTTTCCTAACTTTTTACACAGTTCTGCACAAAGCTGGAACTCCTTTGATTGAAACAGACATTTTAGTGACAGTTTTGGTTCTCCACATTCCAAGTAAGTTTTAGCCAATGTCATATATTCCATTTGCTTTTCCCTGTAGAAAGTAAGAGAAAATTACCGCTTACATCCACATTAAGTTTAGGATTACATGATCTGTCACTGAATCCAACCAACACTGACATCATGTGTTGTTCTTCATACATAACCTGATGAGGTATTACCTACAATTAGTTATATTTTAGGCTGACACTGTTCTGTCCAGAAGTCTGTTCCAAAATCTCACTGCTCTGGCAGTAAAAAGCTTTTTTTTCTTTTTTAAATTCTCAAACTAAGTATACTAGTGTGGTTTCATGCTGCTTCTTTTTTCTAGCTTAACTTGCTCCTTCTTCCTTTCTGCTGTTTAGCCCCAATGCCATTAAAGACAATAACCAATATTTGTTCTCAGCCTTTGTTCTGTATAACTAAACAAGCCCAGCCCTTCTGGTATCATCACAGTGTGTCTATTTTCTTCCCAGACTTAGTCTGAATTCATCATTCTTGAGCCTGGAGGGTCAGAACCATACAGAGAATTTCATATTATAGAGCACACAGGAATCTTACTTATGCTTTGTACACCAGCATTAATACCTCTATTAAAAAAAAATGCCACTTTCACAGCTTCATTACTACATATGTTCTGTCAACATATCTTAATATACCCAATTTCTTCTCCTCAAATTTTATCCAGTTGAAAAGCACCCCAGCTTACAGCCACTGAAAAAAAGTTTTTTCAGTCCCACCAACAAATTCTCTATGATCACGAAATTTTATCAGTATCCTTACACTTCTAGCCAGGGCCACTAATATAAAACAGGTAATTAAAAGAGGTAAAACCTTGATTAACTCCAGTCATAACATTTCTCCAGACCTTCCCCCTCCTCCCTTCAGTACTAGCTTCCTCTGCTCTAGTTATTCCTTACCCACTCTGCTATCACTGCTAGTTTTCAGCCTCTCCAGCATGAGCAGGAATTAATTCACTTAGGTCTAGAGTCCGCCGCATGACGTTTTTTCCTGTCTTATTTGAGACAAGTCCCAACTATTTTGCCCAGTTGACAGCATGAACTAAATGATTCTATCTGAAAATCTGTCCCTTTAAAACTGCCCTTTGGTTCAGACCTACTTCTGCTTGTTTAGTTTAGATGGACTCTAACACTAATTTTACCTCAAAGCTCACTTTTTGTTAGCAGCTTTTCTTCCCCAATGTACACCACCATTCCTTCTTCTTTGTTAAGTGAATATGCAGTAGGATTAACTGGGGTTGAGCACTGCTGATGGCATATGCTCTTCTACCTATATCTAAGAATATAAAGCCTCTTGAGGTAATGCAAATCCTATTGCTTTTCTCTCACATAACCAGTAAGCCCTTTCAATGGCCACATTGGCTTTGAACAGCCTATGGCGTACAACTGCTTTCACCACTCCCCAAAGGGAGCAGTGCCCCAGATCCTGTTGGAGCTGTGCTAGACTTTCCAATTTCTTAAATCTCTTTTGCCACCCACAGACAAAGATGTGAAGACACTTCGCCCGTGTGGTTCTCTGAGGTCTCCAGTCGGGTCCCACAACTGTGGTGGGAATCTCCCCCTGCACACACCCATGAGGTCTGGCACTGCAGAATGACACTCGCTTACCTGCATTTACACTTACCTGGGGCTGCTTTTCTTTGAATGCACTTTGAGAACGGCATCGTGTGCCAGGGCCAGTTTTGACTTCTCAGCTGCTCCTCCCTTTTGGTAACATTTGGCTGCCACCTGGGGTGAAATCATACACAGCATTCACACATATGCATCCAGCCCATGGCCTACCACATAAAAGCAATACTTAAATTTTACAGTCACTGTAATGGAAAACAGAAAGACTAGCAGGGTGCCTGGAAGAAGGAAAAGGTAAAACGATGCAGTATATTTTTAGGACAAAAAGAAAAGCTTTAAAGTCAGTCCACATGTGACTATAATAATTAAAATTTTAATTACAATGTTTTACATGGAATTAGTGAAAGCAAAATTCCTGGCAGGCTGATAGAACAAATAGCACATGCAATTTGAATGATGGCCTAAACCATTAATTGGTAAGTTACCAGGCATCTGCCACACAAATTCTGTTAATAAAAGTTAGGAAAACCAATGTGTGTAAAGCTAAATTGAAAACCATGGAACATTTATTCATGCTTTTACCATGCCAGGCCCTTTCTGTGATAAGCTAAAGAGAAGCATCAGGAGTTACCATGCTCCTAGCAAGGTTTGCTTCATTATCACCTCAGTCATTCTGCAACACCAGTATTTCTTTATTCTATCCATTAATCTAGCATTTGCTTCTGTTTGGAAATTGCACATTGCAAGCCACTCTTAGAACTGCCAAATTCACCAGATAATTTCTTCTTAATGTAGCAATGATAAGCAAAGATCAGGGTTATAAAGAAAACAGAATAGCAGATAATATAGCTAGTACATTCCAGATTTCAAGATGAAATTTTCTCAGCTGTGTGTTTTTTGTCTAAACACACTTCTGTTCATTTAGTGTGGTTTTTTTTCAAGGGGAGATAAAGACTGTCTGTATAGCGGCAGCTGATTATTTTAATTTTTGCCTTGTTATAAATATCTATTTTCCATACAAAAAATTATATGTTGCTATCAGCAAAAAATGGAAGCTTTCCTTCTGCCATGATCAAAAAAAGTATCCAAAATTTTATTTCAGAGAATCATGTATTATCTCAAGTTGTAAGGGATCCATAAGAATCGTTGAATCCAACTCCCTGCTCCTCACAGGACTACCTAAAACTAAACCATATGACTAAGAGCATCGTCCAGATGCTCCTTGAACTCTGACAGACTTGGTGCTGTGACCCTGGGGAGCCTGTTCCAGTGACCAACCACCCTCTTAGTGAAGAACCTTCTCCTAATGTCCAACCTGAACTTCCCCTGATACAGCTTCATTCCATTTCCTTTGTGTACTATCTCTGGTCACCAGAGAGAGGAGATCAGCACCTCCACCTCTGCTGTCACCCTCGAGAAAGTTGTAGACTGTGATAAGGTCACCCCTCAGCCTTCTCTTTTCCAACCTGAACAACCCAAGTGACCTCAGCCACTCCTCATAAGTCTTGCCCTTGAGACCTTTCACCATCTTGGTCACTCTCCTGTGGACACACTCTAATAGTCTGATGTCCTTCTTATATTGAGGCACCCGAATCTCCACACAGTACTCAAGGTGGGGCCGCACCAGTGCAGTGTAGAGTGGGACAATCACCTCCCCTGACTGGCTAGCTATGCTGTGCTTGATGCACCCCAGAACACTGTTGGCCATTTTTGCTGCCAAGGGCACACTGTTAATTCATATTCAACTTGCCATCAACCCAAACCCCCAGATTTCTTTCTGCAGGGCTGCTCTCCAGCCTCTTGTCCCCCAATTTGTATGTATAGCCAGGATTACCCCGTCCCAGGTGCAGAATCCAGTACTTGCTCTTGTTAAATTACAGAGGGTTGGGGATTGTTGAGATCTCAAGTCTATCCAGATCTCTCTGTAATGCCTCTCTACCCTCAGGGGAGTCCACAGCTCCTTCTAGTTTAGTATCGTCAGCAAACTTACTTAATGTACATTTGATTCCTGCATCCAGATCATTTATAAAAACATTAAAGAGTACTGGCCCTAAAATTGAGCCCTGGGGAACCCCACTGGTGACTGGCCGCCAGCCTGATGTAGCCCTATTTACTATAACTCTTTGAGCCCGACCTGTCAGCTAATTGCTCATCCAACGTATTATGGACTTGTCTAGCTATGTGTTGGACATTTTGTCCAGAAGGATACTGTGAGAGACAGTATCAAAAGCTTTGCTAAAATCCAGAACCACCACATCTACTGGCTTCCCTTGGGCAACTAGATGGGTGACCTTGTCATAAAAGGAAACCAAGCTGGTTAAGTAGGACGTAGGACTTTTCCCTCGTGAACCTGCATTGTCTCTCAAGTATTTTTCAGTAACTCCCAGAATAACCTTCTCCATAATTTTACCAGGCACTGAAGTGAGACTGACAGGCCTGTAATTACCAGGGTCTTGCTTCTTATCCTTCTTGAAAATTGGGACAACATTTGCCAGCTTCCAGTTGACAGAGACCTCTCCAGACTCCCAGGACCGTTGAAAAATAATGGAGAGAAGTCCCGCAATAAAATCGGCCAGCTCTTTCAGTACCCTGGGATGAATCTCATCGGGCCCCACAGATTTATGCGCATCCAGCTGGAGCAGCAAGTCTCAAAGTTCAAGTTCAGAGTCTGCTGGGAGTTTATCATCCCCCTCAGTCATGGTCTTCCAACACAGGGTTCCGGGGGTCCCAGGGCCCATCATTGGTGTTAAAGACAGTGGCAAAGAAGGCATTAAACATCTCTGCTTTGCCTACATCCCTATTTGTGAGGTGACTGACCTCATCAAGTAATGGCCCAATGTTATCTCTGATGCTCCTTTCACTGTTAACGTATTTTAAAAAGCCCTTTTTATTGCCCTTCACAGTGCTGGCCAGCTTGAACTCTAATCGAGCTTTGGCTGCAAAAATTTTCTCCCTACAGTGGTGAACAGCGTCTCTGTAGTCCTCCCGTGTCGCCTGTCCTTGCTTCCAATGTCCATACACTTCCCTTTTCTGCCTAAATTCTAGAAGAAGATCCCTGCTCAGCTAAGCCAGCCTTCTGCCCCACTTGCTGGTCTTCTGACACTTTGGAATTGCCTGCTCCTGCACTCTTAAGAGATGGCTCCTAAAAAGGGACCAGCATTCATGGACCCCAATATCTTCAAAGCAGATTCCCAGGGGACCTTACTAACTAGCTCCTTCAGCAGCCCGAAGACTGCTCTCCCCATATCCACGGTTGAAGTTTTGCTGGCAGTTTTTCTTCTATCGCCAACTATTTGAAACTCAACTACTTGGTGGTCACTGTGACCAAGACAGCCACCAATCACCACTTCACCCACAAGTCCCCCCCTGTTTACAAATAACAAATCTAGGAGGGCATCTTTGCTAGTCGGCTCCCTTAGTACCTGTACCAAGAAGTTATCTTCAAAGTGCTTCAGAAATTTCCTGGACCTGTTTGTGTCTGCTGTATGATATTCCCTGTTGATGTCTGGGAACTTAAAACCACCCATAAGGACAAGGGCAGTTGATCTA